TGATACGATAGCTTCATCCTATATAGCAAGTCAGTAGAGATACGGCTGATGGACAAAATCCTGCATGACCTTATATACCTAAACTATGGGATTTATGGTACTATACTATATTTGGGTCATGCAGAATTTTGCCCATCAACAGAAGCACCCTCAACTCCAAACCCAAGACCCAGGTTCCTGCGTGGGTGTGCCTCCTCGACAGATCTCGCCGGCAACGACTTCGTGTCCTATTTTCGCGACCAGGAGCAGCAACTTCTGCTCAAGGGTTCCTTTATGGGCTCTATAAGGGTTCGTTTTTAGGGTATAGAGTTCCAAAAAGAGTTCCTAGAAGGGTTCCTTTAAGGGTGCTTTGAAGGGTGCCCTTAATGGTTCCGTTAAAGCTTCCTAAACGGGGTTACTCTTGAGGATAAGTTTGGGGTTTAAGGGTTTAGGGCTTGAGGGCTATAGGTTCTGGAGTTCTCTTCAGGATGTGTTGCCTATACTTCGTTTAGTACAATATGAAGCGAGCGTCTTTTTGAATTCTCTAGGCTATATGGGTCTATGGTCCATGGGATTGGTCTGAAAGACGGCAACTATGGGTTGCCGTGATCACGAAGCCGAAGCTCTTGTCAGAAGTCGGTCGAAGCCCCTATCTGGCTGTTTACGGGGAATCATTCTTTGGTTGTTTGACTACCATGTATGCCCACGGGATTCTTAATCATAGTGCTTTCATTATGGTTTCACGGAACTCATAGGTGTACAAGTTCAAAGGTTTATGAGGGTCCTCGAGATCAGGGCGGGAGCAGAGAATAGCCAAACCTTTTGAGTAATCCCCCTAAACCCTGAAACCATAATTATAAACCTAAACCCAATTCCCCTAAACCCTAAACCCCACCTAGCTCGGAGGATCGAGACCATGTGCGCCAACGGCTGTCTTCTGCGACGACATATGCCGGACAGCCTGTACCTGGGCATAGGAGTGTCTCAAAGGGCCCCCCCGAGACTGAAGATGTAGGTAGCAAGATGCGGGGGTCTGCGAAAATTTAAATAGGGACCCTAATATGGTACCCTAAATGGTAGGATCCTTATTACAAGGATCCCAAAATAAGGGGTACCTTATTTTCGGAAACTCACATGTAGGACCTAACCCCATTCGAGCTTTGGAGTTTGCAGATCAGCTCCTTCAGCCTTAGGTTCTTTCCTTGCGACATCTCATTGGGTGTTAGCAATTTAAGTGCCGACGGCAGGGCTTCTCCGAACCCTAAGCCCTAAGCCCCATAAGGCAGCAGCCTAAACAAGTTCGTCAATCCTTCCTTAGTGTTCCTTGATAGAGATAGTCGCCGGGAGTCGACCCCAAGACCATATCCTGACTGTGAAGGCCGCTAGGTTCCCTAAATCCAAACACAAACCTTGGATTTCAAAACCGGAAACGCAGCTTCCATTCAGGCTTTGGCGCTGAACGCGAGCTTGCAAGATTCCGTGGGAAACTGCACCTTGACCTCTCCCCTGGAGCCCAGTTACCTATGAAGTGGGTGGCTGTCCCTTAAACCCTCCAAAAAAATACCCGAAGGTTCCGTGTGCCCAAACAGTATATACTTTGGCCTCAAAGTAGTGCCTATACAGATTGGTACTTTGGTGCCAAAGTATATACTGTTTAGGTGGCCTTAGGGCAACCTAGTAATTTACTTTATGGATAACTGTGCTCTTATGGTCCGTTCTAAAGTCAATTGCAGCTCTTGTAGCGGTTTGATAAAGGTTGCTATAAGGGCTTTGTGATATAGCAGCCGTACTGAGTAGAATGGGACAGACTTGGTTTTTTGGGATGATTTGTTTTGATTTTGTTCAAAAAACCCAGAGAATAGTATCGGTAAAAACCAGGCTTCGACAATAACAGTATGCTTTCTTGGCCCCTGTAAGGGAAAGGGGTTTAGGGTTTAGGGGTTAAGCGTGTAAGGCAAAGGGGTTTAGGGTTTAGGTGATCTTACGGGTATTTGGAGGCTTTGATGCAAGGTTTGTGGGTGTTGGGCTCTTCGAGTATGGACATAGGCGCAGGTTCTTTTACCCTGTGGGTCCAAGTAACTTTGTTTAAGTGAGAGACTCGCCCACAGACACATAAACCCTACCTGTAGCCGAAAAAACTTACTTTTTGAGGGTTCCTTATTAAGGTTTCTATATACCACCTCCTTCAAAATGTCGGTTTTTTGGGCCACAGGTAAACCCTTCAAGTTTCTATCCTAAACCCAAGTACCTGTTCTTGGGTCTTTCGGATCCTTGAATGTATGGGGTGGCGATTGAGGCCCGGGCTCATGAAAGCGCAGTATGCCACGATGGATTGTAGTAGCCATGGGGTTCAGGGTTTAAGGTGTAGGATTTAGGGTTTGAGGCTTTTTTTAGGGGCTTCAATAATTAGAACAGGGTTTTGGGGCATATCATACTGTAATTATAGTTATAAAAAAGGAGCCCGCAAAATAGTTTAGGTAATTATTTACAGTAGGCCCGCACATTAAGCTTTTTAAGGTTTCGCCTTTAGATATTAGCTAGGGCTTAGGGGTTTCGACTCAGGCCATTGAGGCCACAAGTGAATTTGGTGGCCGACGGGGCGAAACTCAGGTTTGAGGGTTTAGGGTTCAGGGCTTAGGGCTAGGGCTTCGACGTCTTTCGGGTTTAGCGTGCAGGGCTTTGTATAGGAAGTCCCCGGTGGTGCATCATAATCTGCATCGAGGCTCTTGGCCGTCACGTGGCGCGCAGTCCTTCAAACCCCTCATTGCGCAACCCTAAGCCCTAGGCCCTGAACCCAAAACCCACCAAAAAACAAAACCCCTAAACTCCCTAAACCCAAACCCTTAGGCCCGAAACTCTATACCCAAATCCCAAACCCCAAATGAACCTGGGTGTTCAGACCTTACTTGATCCCCTTTAGAAAAACCTATCCTCTTTTTTGGATTCCTCCTTTCGATGTCCTCATTCAGCTTATTCAAACCCCAATGGTCCATGTACCCAAATAGTATACACTTTGGCCCTAAAGTACCTATATGGGGATTGCTTTAAGGCCGAACTACATACTGTTTGGGTGCATGGACCCTTATACCCTAATCCCAAAGCCAACACAGGACTAAATCCTAAGCCTTAAACCCTAAATCCTAAACCCCTAAATCCTAAACCCTTAAATCCTAAACCCCTAAACCCCTAAACCCTAATCCCTTGAACCACAAAATCCTCAACCCTTATAGAACCCCTCTCGGTATATCCTCCCAGGTATCAGCGTGGAGCTCCTGCATCTGCCCTTCGAGAGGACGGAGGGCTGCATACGTCACGTGGTCCCGACCTCAACTCCCAGGGCCCAGGGTTTAGGGTTTAAGGGTTGCTAGGGTTTAGGGTTTAGGGTTTAGGGTTTAGGGCTACTACTACTACTACTACTACTACTACTACTACTACTGCTACTAATGCTACTGCTACTGCTACTGCTACTACTACTACTACTACTACTACTACTACTACTACTACCACCACTGCAACTGCCACGACTACCACGACGACTACGACCACTACGCCCATGCCAATGCCCACGC